AAACTATGCTCAGTCACATTCTGGACACTTCAGCACAGGTGCCTGAGGACATGGGTCGTCATTGGATTCAGGAACAGTGATATGGTTGTCCGGATAGTCTGGGGTCAGTACACAGATGTCTTGATTGCTCGACTGCATGGCTATCTGAGTCAAGTCAGCACGGCGTTGACTCAGAGTGCGGGTGAGTCGAGATTGCTGCTGTTGCAGGTAGAGCCATGGTTGGTGCAAATCGAGTCGAGTATAAAATGCATGTGTAGATTCTCTGGTGATGTGAACAGGTGATCTGGCCATAGTGCGGTGATGATGTCTATGAATCATGCCAATGATCTGCTGAAAACCCTTGGCAGTAATTCCCATCTCGTGGACTCCGTGTGAGACCGTGGGCAGGACACATTGATTGTACAATCTGATTCTTACATGGAATGGATGAGGAGATATGATGAGTGTCCATGAGCCATGGTCTGAGGATACGAAAGCAGACATTGGCAGCAGTGACTCGTCTGGTGACTGTGTCATTGGCAAAAGCATTATAACTTATTGTGACTCCAAGATAATTTGTCTTGCTCACGAGGGGCAAGCAAAGTGCAATGCCCGGCAAGTGCAACAGGGGACCCTCTTTTGGTCGAGAGGTCCATCGCTTCAAAAACGTCTGGGCAGTTTTGCCAACCAGGCGCATGATGGTCACACTTTTGGTTTCATTCACCTGGAAGTGATACGCCTTGAGCGTGCACAAGATACATTGCAAATCATGGAGGGCTTCGAGTCCATCAGGGACCGATTTGACGATCCATCTGAGGTGGATGTCGTCGGCATAAATGATCATGTGGGAAATGATCCAGTTCATGTCATACCTAGCAAGAAGATCATGGAGGATGAGGTACATGCTCAAGGTCCAAAGCATCGGGGCATCTTTTGACCCTTGTTTGATACCTCTGGAGGCAGTGAACCCGCCAACAAGGTCTTTGTGGAGCACACAGTATTCATGCTTCGTGAGCCATGAATGGACAAGGTGTCTGAGATCCGGATTTAAGTCGAACAAGTTGAGTGCACGAACAACAAGGGCTCGACTGATGGCGTCAAAAGCCTTTTCAAGATCTAAAGAAACCTGGATGCCCCCCCCACAGACCTTCGTCTCTGTGGTGCTGTTGGCACAGAGCTTTCACAGTCCGGCAATGATCAGAGACCAGCAAAAAGGCAGTCTCGAGTGCCTTGGTTGGGAAGGTATGCAGAGAGAGGCATGGTTCTGAGCTGGTCGAATGCAATTTGCATGATCTGGGAACAATGTATGCCTGTCATGACCTCATTGACAGGGTGCTGTAGACACAGTAGACAAATCGGTCGTAGAGCTGCGGGCTTATTGGGTGGCTTATTGGGTTTGCTTAGCATATGTAACCAACCCATGGACCAATGAGTCGGAGGTGATCCTTCAGAATTCACCCAGGCATGTGTTGCAGCTTGATATACAATCGGCGCTAGGGCATGGGCAAAGTGTCGCCATACGACTGCTGGAAAGCCGTCAGGGGCTAAAGCTTTGGTGGATGGCAATCGACTCAGACCATCTGTAAGGTCGTCCTGGGTGAACGGGAGGCAGCTCAACGGTTGGGGTGTGAGGTCGAAATCAGCATCAGTAAACAGTTGGCCAAAATGGGCGATCAGTGAATCAAGCTCTTGACGTGGAGTCATGGGAGCACCATAACGATCATGCATCTGAATCCTGCGGACAGGCTGTTTAGGGCATAGTTTACGGATGTTCCTATACCATTCATGGATTCGATTAGTCATGACATGTGCAACATTCTCCTGCAAGAATTGTTCAAGCTTGCGTCTTTTGTTGATTCTGCTGAAGCGTCGAATCTGAGCATGCAACTTATTAAATATTGTGCAATGCTTCCAGCCGTTAAAGTTGATTTGACTGTCACAATGAATATATATCTGTACTGAGTTCTTGCATGCCACATTCGCGCAGTCATGGATCGAATCTGATCATTGGTGTGTTTGAAGGAATGCGCCGGTGGGAAGTGTTCAAGACACAACGCACGAATCTGGGTTTCCATATTCAGGCAGTTTTGGATCGGATTTGGGATGTGTACGTCACTGTGCCTGAGGATACAACTCTGAACGTCTTGTTCAAAACGAAGCCATCTGGGTGCGCTCTCCAGCATTTCCTGTCGCAGTCGAAAACGATTGATGGTGGGGCTTTGTGTAGGGGGTTTACGAACTGCATTCCACCGCGGGAGGTGGAGTATTAGTGGTCTGTGTTGAGGTCCATGATGTATTCCTATCCGTTCGAAGCGATGGTCAACCTGTGCACGAAGATGGCGCCATCTGACTTGGAAATTCCGAAGGAAAATGAAACCAATTCTAGACCTGTGGGGACCGTGCAGGAAGGTAGGGACATACTTCTGATGACAATGAATAGCAGTCAAAGACAAAATCCTGTACCATTTGCTGAAATTGCTGCTTGTCGGATAGAAGAGCTTGTCTGTAGCGGGGATCAGGACTACCTACGTGAGGTGGATCTCTGTCGAAGTCCCCAGCAAGAATAAGCATGTGCCGTTGGGTATGTTCTGGACACCACGTTTTAGTCTTTCCCAAAGGTCCTGCCTAGCTTGAAGGAGGCCACGATTGGTCTTCGTCGTGTTCCAGGCTGTCTGGTATACTGCATACAGATCGTATATCTGCGCAAGCAACAATCTGATGTGCAGAAGGCGTCCTGGAATGATATCATGATATGCCAGTTGGGATTGTCTGACCAATGTACGACGGACCATCACCAGCTGGGATGCTGAGGCTGCATGGCTATGAATGCACAGCCACTGGTTCTGTCTGCCATTGTCAGTCATTGACCATCCAGTTTCTTGAGCCATAATCACATCTTCAGGACGGCTGTTGCACCAACATATCCATTCTTGATATACCAAGCCTCTGGAGGCGTTCCAAGATAAAATCTTCAACGCAGGTCGTTCAGTCTGCAATCGTTTTGCAGAAGCACCAGGTGTTGGATTCTGTGCCTGAATGATCTTGGACCTTAGTCTGGCTGGGACTTCCCACAGAGTTCTGCCATGGTAGGATGTGGATGTGGAGGCAATTGCTCTGCGACAGGCTCTATAAAAGGATCTCTTGATTCGTCGAACACGAGAAGGGCGTTGCACGTGGCCGTAGCCATACATCGCCCAGACTTCACTTGCTTTCGCGCAGACTCTGGGAGCTTCTGGTGGAGGCTCTGCACTTCTGCCAGTTCGTGAAGAGAAACTGGCAACCCTCACGCCGGGCTTGAACCCTGTAGGAAAGAAGGGTGCAGCATCTGGGTTCAAGCCCCCCGGACTTGGGACCGGGTGTGCCTGCGACATGATGATTACAAAGTGGGCCACAATCCAAAAGAAAGTCATTTCACAGACCGCAGTTACGACTCCTCATGGCAGCGGGTCTAAAGAAAGGATGCGGCCGGTCTCGAGCAGGCATGGCGCTTTTTCATGCTTTTTCACGTTACAATAAAGCATTATATTTTAATCTGCGACCATACTATCCAAATATCTAATGCTCCGGCCTACGCAATAAGCAACAATTTCTATAAGGATGGCGCGATTGTAAATCAGAGCTGCGGAGGGTAGCGCACCAACAATCCATTCGAATCCAGGAGCGCGATTCGTTTCTGGAGTATTCCGATCATTCTCGGACAACCGCCAATGATCGGTAGAATAATTACATAAACTCGGAATAAGCCCTCCATCGTCCCCATCTATACATCAACGAATAATTCAATAGGGCGAGCCAACAGGAAAAGATCCTTATCGAAGTTTCAAAACGATCGTTTATCCTCGACGCCATTTCTTCACCCTCTACTCACTGAGTTTGCATCCCGGTCCAATCTCGAATATTGAAGCTCACATCTCGCATCTCGAATCTCAAAAACCGAATCTCGGATTTTGACTCCCGAGGCTCGGATCTCGAATCTCGATTCTCGGATCGGATCTCGGATCTCGAATCCCGAATCTCGCATCTCGAATCTTGGTTCTCGGATCTCGCGTCTCAAATCTCGAATCTCAAATCCCGAATCTCGCATTTCGGATCACGGATCTCGCTTCTCGGATCTCAGATCTCGGATCTCAAATCCCGAATCTCGGATCTCGAATCTCTTATCTCGAATGCCGAATCTCGCATCTCGAATCCAGGAACTCGGATCTCAACTCCCGAGATCTCGAATCTCAAATACCGAATGTCGGATCTCGAATCCCGAATCTCGCATCTCGAATTTCGGTTCTCGGATCCTGCATCCCGCATCTCAGATCTCGGATCTCAAATCTTTTTTTTTTTTTAATATCTTATTCCTCCAAAGAAAATACCTTTGATATTATTGCTGGCAGTGCCATTTCAAAAAGCAGGTGAGGGCTTGGATTGGATTGAAAAGCTCCAACCAGAGCACCCTGCTGGGGGTATGCAGGGTCCCAGCCCTGCATAACTCGCATCTTTGTGACTGCGAAAGTCAACAAAACTATTAGGATGTAAGTTTTCTTGCGTCCTAGTGGATTTTGGCGGCCAAGTTGTCCTCCAGAAGGGATGCCCCCAGGCCATGCTCCAGAAGTTAAAAAATATAACATGCCAAGAGAACTTTCCCAAACCCATCTTTTTATATGGACCCGTGCCTAATCTTTTGCTGCTGATTTCAGACCTATCCTATCCAATTAGGACAGCTCTATGCGTCTTCTCAGTCGAGATTTCTTGGAATGGCCTCTTTGGCTGCCCGTATCTGCTAGCTCTTCCACTTTTTTTGCCAACTCGCAGCCAGCCAAGCCCCCCCTTCCACCAACCCCGGATCTGCAACATTGATCATAAGCTACACGCCTACACGCCTTGACTCAGCGCGGCAGGATGTTCATCTGAGACAACTATATTTAACCATTTTCTACGGTATATTCCGGTGTATGTAGGGAGCGGCAAGTGCAAAATCACAACCCGATTCATGTTGCAGCACACCTCCTGCTACGAGAACTTTTCTTGATGCCTGGTCTTGTGGCTTGGTGACACGACAGCGACGGACTGCGCTGAACTGGTGAAACAAGTGATCTTGTTGACTGGCAAGGCCAAAATCAACTCTGTGTACGTTGTGCATGTTTCAGCTTATAGTCATGATCTATCTGGGGTCTGTGTCTATGTTGCAACACCCTTGAGGCGTCAAGTCTTGCTGAAGCACACCTTAGCTTGACCAAAATGCGCCACCAACGGTCAGCTAACATGCCATTCATCTTGAGCCCCCTTCATGTCAACTGATAAAACATTGTCGCTCTTCGCGGACGAGTTGGTTGTGTGCCCAGCTTGACGTGGAACCCATGGAGGTAGCTTCTTCGAGCGGAAAATGGCATCCCCTAAGCTGAGAGATTGTTCACACATGACATGACATCTCTAATCAAAGACTCACAAAGATGCTTCAATATGCCTTCAATCTACACTCGACAAAGTACGACATAAATCCTGGAGAGTCTACACAGTGACTCTAGCTGGGAAAATGACCTGGACCTGCAAACGTGTCAAAGCTCTGAGGTGGATTCCGCCAGCTTCTTGCCATTTTCGGAGAACAAGATTGCAGTACGATTCTTCACCCCAGTACTGCACATACCTGGCGAACAAGCTAGCCAAGTCCCGGAGCACTCAGCATTACAGTGCCAGAAGCTAGAACTATTGCCACCACGAGCCTGGAGCCATTGGGGCAAGGGAATGCCATCTCGAGCCCACCCGACCGCATCTCCTCGTCAAACGGCTCAATCTTCCCGATCGCCGGCCGTGCCGAAGCGTTCGAAACACATATCCAAGCCTGATCATGCGCTTCGACGACGAGCTCCCAAGCCTAGGGGCACATGGCGCTTTGATCGCTGAAATCAAGCAATTGCCTTACAACAGTGGCTTCCCGTGCTGAGGGGCACACCACCTCATCAAAAAGAGACACAGCTTCCTGTGGGCCTGACAATGTTCTGGGAAAGCGGCCTTGAGAAATGAACAGAAAAAGCTGCCGCTTTTTTCTGAGCTTGTTGCTTTGGCCAGCCTCAGGGACAAACATTGAAGGATTCAAAGAGCTCTTTTCAACGACAAGTGTGCTACGGGTGGAGCTTTTGAGACAGCCTTTAATGGCGATTGGCATCAATCAAACCGTATGGAAAGCTTGCGCCATCTTCTGCACCAAACAGTCAAAGAGCCATACACTTGGAGAACTAGGAGATGAACTAGGTACAATTGATCTTGAACAAGGAAGAGGGTTCCAAGGACCTGAGAAAACATAAGGTCAATATCGAGTCAATATGTTCCGGAGTCCAATTTGTGGGTCTGACACCTTCAGTTGTGCTGGGTTCCAGGGCTTTGGTACTATGGATTGAACGTGGCAACAATAAGCGTCGCAAGGCATTGATCTTTGTCCGTGCAGTGAACAAAGTGTGTTGGCTGGACAAAGGTCAGTAAGCGACTGAAAAGAGATGGGGGAGGTGGTGAACGTGTAAGTGCAAATGAATGGCGAGGGAAGGCTGAACGCCTCGATTCAAGCTCACTTCAAGCAAGTGTATGACCATGCCAACTAGAATGGACCTCAAGTGCCCCTGGCGAAGCAGTGACCTTTTGTGAAAGCCGAGGTGGTGAGCATAACCTGCACTCCAATCGGCGTGCCTGTGTGCGAGAGATGCGGAGGGGCGAGAAGTGTGTGATTGGCAAGGTCCAACAAACTTCTCATAATTTGATGGACTCACTTAGTGAACTGTACCTTTTGACACATTGAGACCTTTAAGTCAAAAGGGCTCAAGTTGGCTGTTTGTTGCTGACAGGTTCCACATTGCCCATTTCGCAGTCTTGCTCCAAACTTTGGAGTTGTGCTTCTCAATGATTCTACGGTGCGGGCAAGTAGGTGGAAATCTATAAAGCAAAAACGTCAATTCATATAATTCATATCACTCCATTTCCATTCCCAAGTGAAGCGAGTAAACATCAAGAAACTGTAGGCCAGCACGGGGCAAGTACAGGTGAAATCCCCCCAACATCCAATCCTACAGTACCATTGTTAGTTACCTCTGTCAATGGCGCTTGCCGTTGTGGAGTTGGTTGAGGATGGGATCTGAGTTTGTGCTGGGTTTTGTCCATTCTGTTGGAACAACAACATGTCGGAGTCTTGTTTTGCTCGTTCTTGCCCCCAGCAAGGTGTGCGCTCAAGGTGGAATGGGGCAGGGAGGTGGCAAAGTGCCATGTGTTCGTAGGGGGCACCCTTGGACATCCCAGCAAACAAACTTTTCAACGTCGTGCTCTGTAAGGGTGGCCTTTTGAACCTGCAGGTGCGGATGGGATTCTATGGAAGGAGTTTTTCAATGGTTTTGCGCTTAAAAGGGACGGGAATTGATTCTCTGGAGGGCACCCTTGGGTTGGTAAACTATGGTAAACTGTCTCAGGGACCAAGTCTTCTTGTAGCAAAAGGCTATTTGAGGGTAGCGAGGTGGCCCTGTGAAGCTGGGGGGCTTGATTCCTGTGAAAGGTTTTTTATATAATGTTTTTGAGGCCCGGCGTGAATGCAAACTGTGCCGTTGGCGCTGCCCTTGCCAACCCCAACCCCGAAAGTGAAATTGAGGGGTCTCGCGAAGCACAGGGTGGGGAAGGCCTGTCCAAGGGTCTCGCAAAGGAGGTCTCTCTGAGAAGGAGGTTTCGCAGAAGGATCTCGCAGAAGGGAGTCTTGCAGAAAGGTGTGTCGCAAAAGGATCTCGCAGAAGGGGGCCTGTCCCGCAGAAGGTAGGGGGTCTTGCGGAAGAGATCGCGCAGAAACGCTTCCCTCCCCGCGCGCTCTTCGTCTCGAAGCTTGCATGGAGTAGTTGCAGTTCTCGTTCATGATGGGCCAATGTGTGCACGGCCATGCCACTGTCACCAAGAGAGGGCGAAAGACGTGGAGATTCGCCGAACCAATTTTGAGGGAGCTTTGTCACCTGGCTCCAAGGCGAAGCGCCCAAAGCACTCCAGGTCAAGTTGAGTTGGCTATCCTGCAGAAAGCTCCAGGAAATCATTAATTCTTGATCTTGCAGTGCACCAGGCTCTGGTAGATGTTATTTTCCGCTCATAGTCGTTCTGCACTCTGGACACGCTTACAAAAACCCTTGCACCATTCACCAGGTCACATGCAAAGTTGCTGTCCAAGTCCGGCGCCATCTTCACGTCTGGGCGGGGCTTCGGCGCTGCGACTTGCTGCGCGCCGATGTCGATGCTGAAGGGTAAGGATCCAAGTTGTAGGTGCTGGTAACACCTTCTTTGGCGGTGGCTTCTTGTCCAACAATCCAATTGCTGGCTTAGCAGGGAAGCGGCCTATCGTGGCTTCAGGTCCTCCTTGACAAGTTATATAATGAGGAGGGCAAAGGCTTCGGGATGGTCAAGAGTCGAGGTTCTTGCCATTCTTGTTGGCTTTGGTTCCATGTCCATTTCTTGCCACGCGTCAAACACTTGGAGAATCGACGTGCTTGTTCCCGACCGTTGGGGGTTCCAGCGCTGACAGGTCTTCATTAACTCGGCCATGGTTGTCTCCACGATCTAAGTGTGCCACAATGCCGCGCCAGTTCTTGCAGTTTCTCTTGGCTGGGCACCGCGGCGCCAGAGTGAATCGGGGTTTGAGCACTTGCGCGCAAAAACTCGCGTGAGCCATCATCGCAAAGTGCACTGAGCTGCTGCCAGGAATGATGCAAACGTGTGTTGCTATCAAAGTGCATGACATTGAAAACCAAAATGACCGTTCATGTTCACATCAAGAATCAGGCCGCCAAAAACATTCTGCCGTGGCAGTGGCAGATCCAATATGGTTCTGAGTTTGTACTTCAAAAGGTCATTCGAGCCCAGCAAAGGAATGTCATTGGCAGACTTGATGATGCTGGTGGCCGGAACCACAGGGAACGAAGACAGCCATCAACCACGTTGTGAGGAACATTCATTCACATTGCAGAACCAGTTCTGGCAAATGAAAGCGAAGTTAGCCATGTGGCTCGGGTTCAACGGTCTCCAGTCAGAGCTGTCGCACCGGAGGCATAGCCACTCAGGTGTGGGTTCATTCGGGGAGCGAAAGCATTCGATCGGCGCTGCTGTCGTCACCCCCGCTGTCGTAGAAGTTCATTGGAGTGCGCTGCTGCATCGAAGCTCCAGTCATAATTATACACTCATGTCAAAGTCGCCTGGACCGTCGGAAGCATAGTCCTCATCCTCCATGGCCTACCGAGGCTGGCCGCGAAACCAACTGACCACAATTGGTTCTGCAAAGAAATGTGTCCTCTGAAAAAACAAGATCAAACAAAAGGCCGCAGGCCGCGGCTCCTTTTCTACGAGTAGCATTGGGTGGCTCAGCGATCAGGTGGGGGAAAAACGAAGATGGGGCGGACCCAAACAGCGAGGTGGATGATCAAGGTGGCAGGACTTCATCTGTCACACTTTCAACATCTTCATTGCTTTCAGTTGGAGGTCTGGATCCAGGTTTCAACCTCACGTAGGGCATGGAGCCAGGAGGATCTGCCCTACTCTTTGCGCTGCCCCACCGATTCGCATGTGCAGCCAACGTGACATCTTGACGTGAAAACGCGAGAACGAACGAACCAGAAAACCAGCGGTGAACCTGACAGAGACTGGTGGATGCTCTTTCCGCTTGGAAAAAGCAACCGCCACCAGGCCCACGAAAGTGAAGCACCCTGTGACCTCCCGCCCCAAAGACACTGTGAGAGTGAAGTACGTTGATGTGAAAAGTGAAAGCAATTACAAATTACAAAATACTCAGCGGCGCTGACGGTGGCGTTGCCAAAGCAAGGGAAACTCCAATAGCCAATAGCTGATGCTACCCCAGACCTTTTGTGAATGGTGCAACAAGTTGCCAACGTGGATGTAAAAAAAAGGCGGGGCGCTTGATGAGTAGGAACGCTTTCAAGACAAGAGCTGACACGCGACTTGCCATCTTCAGAAAGACCATGGAACCACCAGAGCATTGATGCAACCCCCCATCGAATGTAAAATTGTATCTTACTGAGTCTTACTGTAATGCAGACTAAACTAAACATCGGCAGTCGCGGAAGGTAGAACTTCAATTTCTCACACCAAGCAATCATGTGTCAATCTGGTATTAACTGCCTATTGTAAAAAATGATAAAGTATGTCAACATCTAATCTAGAATCTAGATGGCTTCTTGCTTGCGAGGGCTCTGACATTCAAACTCAAGGTGGCAGACTGGGCAAGTTCAGGAGCATGTTGCCGCATTAATTTCCAACTGTCTTGTGCCAAAACAAATCCACTCTGGCTCCTTCTGAGAACCCAGACAAGCTTCAAAGCACGCTTTCTCATTTCGTCCTCCGAGATCAGGCAGCCTCAGCCCGTCGGAGCAGACTGGACTTCCAAGCTCATACGAAGCCGAAGGACCTGCAGCTGCTTCATTGTCATCGGATGGGCTCACCTTGGCGCCAGGTTATGAAGTAGCACAACCCTTGGATCCTCGCATGAGACGACGGCATTGCCAGAAGCGGGCCAATGCACAGACTCGGGGCCTGGAGCTCAAGCACGAAGCCAGAACGCTTTTGCTTCGAGAAATTCAGGTGCCAACTCAGTTTCCACAGCGCTGCTGGTGGATGGACCTTGACTCTTTGCGCGTTGTTCTGTTTCCTCACATTTGCCTGCCCCCTAACCTGAGCAGGGAGAGGTAAATAAGCCACCAGCGCCAACAAGGGTAAGAACCTTGACCGAGGTCGACTCAAGACTCAACATGGCAAAAACATCTTTGAACTCTTAGGTCTTGGGGCGCAACATCCGCAACTAGTTTTGTCTTGATTCTCTTGTCAAGCGGGGACCCTGAAGACAAAGATGGACCTGGAAGAGCAAATTCATGCGAATTCTGCCCTGTCCATTCTGATGCTTCAGCTAGTTGCTGAAACTGCTTAGCAGCTTAGCTGAGAAAATTGCAAATGTTGACTTCTAGAAGCCACGGCTTGAGGCTCCGGTCCACCTTGCTCGCTCAACATGCGCAACCCCTTTGGTGTGATTTCTGAAAGCTTAGCTGAGATCAGGGCCAAAATGTCGAATCCATAAATCTCAAAACAGCTGCCTCTGTGAGCTCCTGGACATCTTTTGAGCCGCAACAAGCATCCACAAACATTTTCCGGACTGACATGTGTGCAGTGAGTGCGCGAATCATTGGGATTGCACATGGTTGCACACCATAGATGCGGGTCGCATTCGTCGGTTCAATGTTCACTTGACATTGACAGTCATTTCCCCCCAGATAGCGTGAACTATTGGGGTTCTTGCCTCAAGTATAGGAAGAGCTGCGTGTGTGCGCTTTCGAGCCTTGGTGCTGGTGCCGCTGCAGGGCGCCGCTGCTGTGTGTGCTTGGGAGCTTGGGTACCTGCAGGCAGGGTGCCGCTGCAGGGTGCCGCTCCAGGGTGCCTGCCTCTGTTGTGTGCCGCTGCTGTGCGCTGGGGAGCCTGGGTGCTGGCGCTGCTCGCTAATTGGGTGCTGGTGACCCGCTGCAGGGTGCCGCTGCAAAGTGCCGCTGCTGTGTGCGCTTGGGAGGTTGGTGCCAGCGCTTGGTTTTGGCATCGTGTACGTATCTCTTTGGGTCCAGTAGCGTTGTGAAAGATGAGTGAAGAAGCCGCAACCTTCAATTTCATGATTCCAATGCTACTTGTATCTGGGGTCTATGCTGGCGTAATATTTTTTCAATTTGTAACCTTTGACGTCTTACACCGCAAACGTTGTTGTTTGGAAACCTCACGGGTGCGTCTTGCCACATACCGACACTAAGTTTTTAAAGTTTATCGACTTGCCCGAGCCTGACTAGAGTGACTAGATGAGTCTAGGATGGAACCCTTACACCCATTCCCTCCGTTCAACACACATATTTGGGAGAATGGGTTTGAGTGGCTGCAGCACCAAATGCCACTGATGTTTCTACCCTGCCTGCGTTTCATCAAACAGTTCTCGAACAGACAGGACTACAAGGCACATGAGACTTGGTGGGATGAGCCTTCAGGCAAACATGACAGAATGCCTCCACTACCCAACTGGGATAATGCCTCCAGGGCCACGAGCTGACCAACCGCCATCCTGTCCAAAACGAGGAAAACACACAAGAACTGGAGAGCAATAATAATTGTTTTTTAATTTTTTTTGCGGGGGCCTCAATGCCCAGCGTCTTACACCAATCAGCCTCACGCAAACAAACACAAATCCCAGGCACAACACATCAACCAACATGCTCCCGTCATACCTCACACAGGCAGGCGCAACACAAGGCCTTCAAAGGCTCTTCGACGGAAATGAGGGTCTTGATAACCAAATCCTGCGAACAAGTCATCGAGGTAATGGCTTGACATTTGCTTCGCACAACGTTCCACCTTCATAGCCTCCCACAAAGCCTGGTTTTGGCAAGTGTGATGTTCAAGTAGGCAGAAATTCAGAAGTCCAAGGGCCGCGCATCAAAGTCCAAGCTTTCTCTGGCAAAGTGGATCCTTGCATTCACTGTTGGTTTCATGGCCCTTACTGTAAGCCTTTGGCGAGCGCAATGCACACGCACACGCACACGCTCATGGAAGGACGCAGTGTAGCGATGGTCACCATCCAAAGCCATCGCTCAAAAAGACTGGACTGGGACCGTCCAGGACGCTGCCCAAATCAAGTTTGCTGCACAAATCCCCAAACTCCGTAGGTCCAACGGTCAACTGAAAGCAACACACGCTAGCAGTGGTCAGCCCCAAATTAACCGTCCACTCTCCACACACTTTTCCACTGCAGAACCCTGAGCAAATTGTGGCATTAAGACATGGTGGGTGAGCCACGACATCTCTGCTAGCAATTTGCACCTAGCGCTGCTCACAAGCTGAGGCTAACTCCGCAACTCCTTCAAGGACCTCATCTTCAAGTTTCCGCCAGGTTGAACTTGAACCATGGTCGAGCAAGTGAACTGAGTGCAAATCCATTTTGAAGCCTTTGGCTGCCCTGCTTCATCAACTCCAGCATCCTCCTTTTCCTGCAGCCACCCATCCAAGAACTGATTAGTCTTTGCCATCGGTCGGTGTCCTCCTCCCCCTGCCCATCAAGGTTTTGAACAAAAGCTGGATTCCTCAAGCTGCAAGAAGGTCTTCAACAAGCAAACTGCAGCAAACTCCTAAGAGCAAAACGGCACTGAGGTGCACACTGCTTATTCACAGAATAGTTTGTGAGGTGCATCATCCTGTGGCACATGCACTCGCCCATATATCATATATCCTCTTTCAACTCACCCCACCAGCCCCCTTCCTGGACTGCAAGGTTTCAACGGCATCGGAGTAGAGTTCAGTCGCAAAACGAACCAAACCCTCGTCGTTGATGAACACTTTCAACGGGTCATACCTCCGCTGAAAGTGCTTTGTCTGACCAAACATTTAAGCCAGCTGGATGGGGCCGCCACGACAGTACTACGACATAGATGCGCATGTCAAACCTCAGAGTGGCATCGACATGGGGTTGATCCGAAGGCATCCCAATGTGGAAGCTTTGGGGAAGAGAGGAGGGTTCAAAGAACGTTGCAAAAAGCCTGCCCAGTGCAAGAAGCGGCGTGATTGTGCTCCCTAGAATGCCCGAAGAGTAAGCACATTTGGGAGGGCCTGTTTTGCATCGCAATCTACCACCATCAGTGTTTGCACGAAAAAGCATATCAGATTTGTGGCTCCAGCTTGCGGCCACCGATGAGAAGTGGGTTTGGGATGTATCGCTGGATGATGCCGCGCCTCAGGCGTCAACCCTTCTCTAGTCGCTAGCCGTGTGCAATTTTCAAGCAATCACCGCTTTGTGGCTTTGTCCTTATCCATGTACAGTTTGAGTTTGAGGGGCAGGCTTCTTCGCGAGGTCACGCAGCTGTTCCTGCCAGGTCCAGCCAAACTGCCACAGCTGTTCTGGCAAACCATTTCACCAGGCCTCAGGCACATCTGAACTAAGTACAGTGATTCCTCTGCCGCAGCTTTGGCCTCACATCACTCCCATTGACACTGAAACAGCGGCTTGAGACAACCTAAACCATTTTGCAACCTTCTGGTCGGCGGTCTCTCCATTGCCACATCCAAAGAGTCTAAACAAATCCTTCCAGTCAACCGTCCCGTCATCATGAAGGCCAATGCTAGAACCCAAGCTGCACTTGCACGTGAAGGCTGACTGCTACGGACGGCTGAACGAACACTTGAAAGAATTGCCTTCAAGTCCTATGCGGTGTTTGTGGAGGTGCTGGACTGGAATCTCACACAAACACTGCAAGACAATGTGCTGAGCTAGCATACTGCAAGGCTTCCAAATCCACAAGGCATCTGATTGGCGCAGTCTAGCAGCATCCCAGGCAAGGAATGCCTGACCATGAAACAAGTGTTCAAGCGAGAACAACATTCAAAAAAATTGCAATGCTGCCTTGGGCAAAATATAGCCTTGCGGTGTAATTTGATACCTGCATCAAGTGTCGGTTTGGAATCCCTGATGCAAACTAATCTCCGGGTCACTCTTTTCCAAAGCGCTGCTGCATCTTTGCAAGATTTCGCCAAATGAGATCCTCAGACTTCTCAACAAAACCACTGAAAACTCGAAGGTCACCTCTCCATCTATCCACTGCACATTTCACAATCAACACTGGGATCTATATACCAGTCCTTTCGGCCCAAGTGGTAGGAGCCGGGAAAATGATTCGCCCGCTGCACAGGACTGGCAACGCAAAATTTTTGCACCTCTTGTTTGCCCTACTCCACTGACACAAAAACAAATTACAGTAAAAACGTTTCTGAATACTTCTTTAAACGGAAACCCGTAGCAGGACAACTCAGCCTGTTAGTGACAACTGGGAAATGGAGGTTGCTGACGCCGCTGTTGCTACCCTGTTCTCTTTGTTGCCTGCGTGGGTGGTTGCTTTTACGGTTGCTATTAATCTTTTAGTTCTTGTTGCGGTTCTTGACTTGTTGGTGTGCTTTTTGCTTTTGCAGCTGCCTCTGGTGCTGCCAGTCATGTCGGGGCAATGCACCAAAGCTGTCAGGGAGGAGGAGCTGTGAATCAGGGTGAGGGTTCTTCTTGTTGCAGTTCACCGTTTCAAGGGTTGTACCACCTGCGGTCCACCAGGGTTGGTCCTCATGGTCCACCACCGCCTCCATGTCGAGTTCATCCAATTGTTGCAGGGCTTTTGCAACAGTTGAGCCTTTGCAAAGGTTCCGAACCACACCAAGCCAAGTACTTCATGTATGCCAACCATGTTCATGCATAGCGGTCAAGGACATCCCAAAAGCACGACAAAGGATTGCTCGCGGAGAGGCTGATCGAATCGTCCTTCCATTGCTGATCGGATCCGATGGGACGCCTTAAATCCTATGCCTATGACCATTTGGGTCCATGGTGCCTGGATCAAGGGAGCATTCATCGCCAAGCAGGAAGAGCAGTTTCATAAGGAGCAGCTTGAACAGCCATCTGCGTGTCCACGGCCACATCCAAAGCGTGTTCTTGCCATGCCTCATGATCAGTTTTCTGGACTGTCCATGGGCCGAACGCGCCAAAATCATCCAAAATCATTATATATATATATAAACGCCCCTGGTTACTGATCAAAAGGCGACTTATGAGGCAAGGACCGCTATCCGCTATGCTGGCAGCTTGACAAAATTCAGTCTATATACTCCTTGGACCATCTTTATGGTCCAAGCTTCTCCCAAAGCTTTTTTTGGGCGGCTCCATGGCGGGTCCAACTCTGGAAGAAGCCACCCATCGCTGGATCAATACACAAAGGTGTTCCAAAAAGCATTTGCAAGAATATAGAGGGAACCAGTTTCTGGTCCATGAGGCCGGACAAATCCCACACGCGAGCACCTCCACGATCGCACCAAAACTGGTCTAGTGGCATGTGATCTTGGGATGCCTTTTGTGGATGTGGAGGTCTGCACGGACCAGGTTCGCAGGAAATTCCCGGCACATCAGCTTCTCAGCGGTGAAAGTCCGATCAGGGATGACCCTGTCAATGGCCGGCCCTCACCTTTCATTTGCGCATTTCATTTGCTTTGTGGCCTTGGGTTTTAAAACCTAGAACGACGGGCTTTCGTTTGGCTCAAGCTGACATCGGCGTGAAATGGTGCGTCGAGCCTTGGGGAAGCTCAGAAACGGACAGAATGTTTTGCCTGATTCAGGTTCTTGTGCCAGGTGCCTCCATACCAGTAGCTTGTTTTGCGCGCCGGAGCTGTCTGATGAAGCACGAACAGGCGTTGAAAGTTGGTGGGTAAAGCGTGTGAAGAAACCTGAGAAGGCTTCCTGTCTCAATATTGGCCTTGTTGATAATCTTGGGAATAGCCATAGCCTATACAACTTGGTGATGCAAATTGTGCAGCAACAACTTCGCCTTGCATCTTCTGCATCACCAACTGCCCAAAATTAGCTCTGCGAAAAAGCATTAATCCCACCACCCTATGATGAAAACCGATTTGCCCCCTCCCCCACCCCTATTACTCACTTCGTTCGCAGGAACAACTTCAGCCTAGCCTGTAGTAGTAGTAGTGCCTAAGAGTTCCGGATCCCGAGGATTGACCGACCGAAGGTGTTTCATCTTCAAGCGGATTTTCCGAAGGGCACATCATCCAACAAGAATTGAAGTTTTCCGTCTTCCACCCGAAACCAGCAAAAAAGAATCTTCCTAAAGCCTGGCTATACCATTCCAAGAGAGAAAGGGTTTGTTGATTGACAACCCTGCCCAAATCAGCTGAACAGTCGGCAATCCCCTCCCACATGAACACGTGAGCACCTAAAGCGTTGGAGCTGCTCTGGCGTTGGATGCAAGGACCTTGATCTGCTCATTGATTTCATAATGAATATATAATTGGCGGTATCTGAGAACATGCTCGAGTGAGGACTTGGCCACAAAACTGTCCACCTGTTTGTTTCAGCTCGCACCTCACGAAAACAGCCAACAGCCAACAGTCGCGTTTCAATGTTTCTGAGGGCTCAAAGCTTCCAAGTGCGTCACTCGATACAACCCCCCATGCCGAAGAATATTGATCACTGCATTGTACTGGTGGATTGCCTGGGCTGGGCTGGGAGAAACCTCGATGGCACTTGCCAAGACCTTTACTAGGGTGATAGCATCAGTGTGGCTGTAGAACATTCGCGGACCATCTTCATCAGCTGGAACTGCACGATCCAAGGGTCGCCTGGAAAGAGAAAAACATCAACGACTCAGCGACCTGCAAAATCCCAATCTCAGACTCCAACTGCTCTGCACAACAAGCTTGCGTGTAGCTGAAGAGAACCACTGGCCTAAGACTTAAGGAATGTGTGTTTGTCAAGTTGAATCATCAACGAACTGCTGGTTTGGGGCTCCACGGCCGACCCTCAAAAACAGATCGCAGCAGCTGTATCTGATGGGGCAAGGGGGTTGCATTCACGACGCCGCAACTTACCCAACCAAAATCACAAACAAAGACGCTTTCTTGTGATTCGGTTCACATAGATTTACGATGATTTAGGTATATGCATGCATGCATGAATTTATGCACACAAACTTACCCACCTACCTACCTACCTACCTTCCTTCCTTCCTACCTACATATATGCATCAAAACATAACAAAGCACTTAAGTGTTTGCTCTGCCACTCATCTTTTCCAGCGGCGGTCTGCAACCTGTCTGGCTGTGTCCTCTGATGCTCTTGCATCACCTGTGGCCTATGGCCTCTATCCCCAGCGTGGCTGGGGTGGGTCACTCTCAGAGTGCCCTGTGCCCAAAAGTGCTGAGGCACCGCCCACACAGAAGTCTACATTACACAAAGGTCTAACCTCCAACTTCAGTGTTTGCTCTGCCCTTCATCTTTTCCAGCGGCGGTCTGCAGCCTGTCTGGCTGTGTCCTCTGATGCTCTTGCATCACCTGTGGCCTATGGCCTCTATCCCCCTCTTCATGCATAATGCATGGTGTTCTCAAGCTGCGCCATCTTCACGGACACCTGAGCAAGCTGATCGCCCCCATCGTGAAGGTACCGGTGAACGGCACTGCTGGACCACCTGGCGCTTCACCAACTCAATCTCGCCCGTGCTCTGAAACAAGGCTGTGGCCCCACCGATCCTGAGGCTGTGGCTCATGAACCTGTCCGGGGGAAGGCCAACAGCTTTTGCCGCTTGCTGGAGCAGCGACTGCACTTCAGTCCGCTTCAGGACAACCCCATTGGGCCTCACTTCATCTGCGTGCTCCTTCATGAACCTGGTGGGCCAAGCTCGCTGCATCCTTGCCAGTGCCTCGACCAGGCACAAATCTCCCCAAAGCCCAACTGGTCCGTCTTGGTCTTCCTGAACTGCATGGTGACCTCATTGGCATCCTTGGCCTCCACCACCTCCGTATCTTTGGTGAAGCGGATGTTGATGCCCCTCAGGACCATGTCCTCATCCACACCGTTGCGGTCGCAGTACTTCGCTGCCTCCGGAAAGGCCGGGTTGTTCCCTTCCAACGGATAACAAGATGTAGCCCCCAGCAGTCAGCAAGCGTGTAGCGGTGTGGACTCCAGTGGCCACGATCCACATGCCATAGTCACCGTCAACCTCGGTCCACACCTCGCCGTCCGTCAACCTCCTCGCAAATCCGGGGGGCCCTTTGCGATCAAACCGGTTCCATGGCCCCCGTCTCCTCACAGAACAAAGGCAAGAAAGGGTCCTCAGAGTCTATGTAGTCAGTACTCGGCGCACGCCATCATCCATCCAGTAATGGCCCACTCCCTGGACTGCCGCCTTGCAACTCCATCCGAGCTGGCTTGACCCACCTCGTGGTCCGTGCTAGCCGGGACAGGTGCTTCCGCCTTCACCAAGCATCTTCCAGTCAACCTTCTCCCCCGTGAGCTGAAGGATCAAGCCCCTCCTCCGCCTAGCGAGCCCTTCGCCGAACTCGTCAACCAGCCCAAAATGCCAGTTCTCACGCTTGCGCGCTTGCACCTGCGCTCACCTGGCTCCCAAGCCGCCAGCCGCGGTCCCTCCAAGGCAACAGTCACCTCCACCTTCTTCGCGGCTTGCAAGAACCCAGCAATCCGCTTTCCACAGGGATCCGGACCAATGCTACCACAAAGCATCGTGAGACGTTATTGCTCACCGATCGGCATAGCCAACCGAGCAACCATCTCGAAGCCCCTCTGCACCCATTCATCAACCTGGTAAGTGGACCACGGGAGCTGGATCTCCTTCCGCAGCTGCCTGAACATCCGTCTTTCCTTCCTGCATCATGCTCTTCCGATCCGCCTCCGTTGCCCACGAAAGGAAACACGGCCCAAAGCGCTCCGTGTCCTCCAAAGCCTGCGTCACTGCTGCCCCAACGTCGACCTTAGTGACTTAGTGAGGTTCTTCTCACTGGCATACTGACATACTGGTCGAACTCCTCCGCAGTGCATCGGGTGATGCCGTCCGCATCCACGTTGTGGTAGGACCGCCACCGCCCAGCCAAGATGGTGCAATTGTACCGCATCTCGACCAAGTTAGCCAATCGGACCAACAACCGCCCTGCACGGACCCCGCTCTGCCCGGCTTTGAAGCCAGTTCTTGACGATCAGGTTGTCCCCGGCGTAGAGAACCACTGCGCCCGCCCAATGGGCCCCAATGGCGTGCGCAAAGGCCACAAAGGACAGCATTTCCCCAACATGGATCACCAGGTTGTCTCCCTCCTCCTGAAGTTCCTGGCCCGTCAACAGCCGCTGGGCCCACAGACGCACGTGTGCAGCTTCTGCTCGAAAGGCGAACCGGTTGGTCCAATCAATCGCGCCAAGGGCTGTTGGCGTGGCATCAGACGACACCACCGCCACTCGGTTCCACCCCCGCGACGGTGATCCCCTCCATGCTCTGAGTTGCTGCTCAACCATCGACGTACCTCGAACAGCCTGCACAAGTCCGCCCAGGCTCTCTTTCCCCATGGTCCAGGAACTTGTCCACGGCCTTCAACTCGTTGTTCAAGCCCCGCAGCGCCGAAGTACACCCGGTCATAATGCCACGGAAACGCTGCAGCTGCTTCAGGGTCAGATTCGTAGCCCCGAAGTCAACCTCCGCCTCCGCCAACAAAGCCGCCCCTTAAGATCCTCTTCTCAGGCAGATGAACCTTCTCGGAGGCCGTCCATCACCAGTCCCCAGATTGTTTGATAACCGTTGAATAATGCCAAAAGGTCTAACTCAGGACTTTATAAAATCCTTCGGGACTGAGGTCATTTCCTTATTTTTTAGTGGCCAAGGCACGATGCAAAAAACTGATTGTTTTTTGGCCTTATAAATTCCTAGGACCAAGGTGTTTCTAAAGTCCTGGGACTGAGGTCGGGACATGTGTATGAAACAAAATTATGATTCATACTGAAATGCTGTCATTGACCCTGGCTCATGTTTTTCTGTGCAAAAAGAGCTCTACTTTTTTCCTTTGCGGGATCTTTCGATCGTGTGGTGGTGAACCGTCTGTACTGGTTTTATGCGCTAATCGGTTCTGCCTGGTGTACTTCCATTAAGGGAATAGACCTGCAGAGTTTGTGTGGCGTATTAGTCATTTATAAATTGATTTTGGTGAATTGAAACACTCTCGTGTCTGTGGCACGCTGCAGCCCAACCCAATACATCGAGCACAACCGCGAAACACAAGGAACGACCGCGAAACACAAGAAAACATAATATAATCCTGACCTTGACCCTCAGAGACCTCCAACTGAAAAAACAACATCCATTTATAGAATCCTGCGTCTGACCTAACGTGTGGTCTTTCAAGTCAGTCACATCATTATTTATCTAGCTTTCCTGAAGTTCTGGACCAAGGTTTCTATTTTTGGAATTCCGGATAAACCCGTATGCTTGTTATGAAGTCCTGGACGTACGTACTTTTCGGAAATATTTTGTAATATTTTGTAATATTTAGTCGGGTTGGGTTCCTTGCTTTCAGTATGGATTACCGGACGGTTATTGTTTGAACGGTCTGGAAGGCTCCTTCGATCTTGTCCTTCTCCGCATTGATCGCCGCCTTGCCCAGCATCATCTTGACCCCGTACTCGAACACTTCCGCGCTCACCCAAGGTCTCAACCCCACGTACGGCTCGGTCGCCGACCAGGACCTTCGCATCAAAGCCAGTCCCCAAATCCCTTCTTGGCTGAGCCGGCTTATTATGTGCCCTGTGGTACTCTTCCGTGGCTCTTCCAAACATTGACCACTCGCCAGGCGAACCTGAGAATCCAAAGGAAGACACCCGGTAAATGACAGTGATGCCAGACTCATCCTCGAGCTCCTTGTCCGGGCCCTCGAGTACCTCCGGGCGCCATGGTATGTCCCCACCCAAGAGCTCCACATCCTCGGGAGCAACCCACAATAGTCGAAAGGTTCCCGCTATGTCTTTCTTCTTGCTCATCACCACCGGGATGTTGGGGCACCTCACCTTGTGCCACAAAATGCGGCGAGCCACCTGGACATGCGCCGGCTGAACCGCCGGTGGATGTAGATAGTTCGTGGTACCTGCGTTGACTCCCCTCTGATCATGGACAATCCGCTTCTCCTCGCTGATCGTCCCTCTTGTCCACTGTCTCGAACGGGGACGAAATAGTCGGCATGGTCAGAGTCCACCACCAGCACCCGATGCTTCGCCACGTCCTTGCCCACTTGCTTGAAGACCTGGCCCACATTCCTTCTCGCGTTGGGGCGTAGTCGTGAGGGGACACGGTGGCGAGGCCCGCAATAATACCGTGCGGTCATCCCATGATGTCTCACATCTCTCAGGTAGTCGATCTCCGGATTGTCCAACCCAGCCAGATTCACCCCTGGTGGCTCGGGCTCCTCCTCATCCCCTGACCATGGACGTCCTCGTCAGACCCCCGCTCGTACTCCTCCTCTTCATCCTCATCGACCCTGACCTTATGGCCCATATCCCACCTGAACAGCTCCTTCTTGCATCCAGCTGTCTCTGATGATTATCCTGGTGCCCCGTGACGTAGTGAGGACTGTCTCACGATCATGTTCCAACCGACTAAGGGGGAAGGGGCCCGCCAACTCCTCAGGGGACCATAGAGCCGTGCTGGGAACCACATGGCGCTGCGCCAACTTTTGTCGGCTGAAATCCGGATTTTTGGGAATCCTCGAAGGCTCATGTGAAGGCCTCCTTGGGCTCCGCGACCTCGACACTCTTGCCACTTCCGACCGGTCCATGGCCATGACCTCCTCCTGGTTGTAGTCGCCCCGTGCCTCATACCCCGAGCATCGACCGCCCAAGATCTTCTCCTGGCGCCGGGTTGACTCGACCGTGTCCCTTTAATTCTTCTCCTGGTGCTCTTCCTCCGGTTGGGCTCGGTCCTCCGTCTCTCCGGACCCAGCGATGTGGTCCTCCTGCTCTTCACATTCCCCATCGCCACCAGCCTTTCGCCTCTTGTCGGTG